GCTAGTGGATTTAACACATGATTTAACTGCTGCTATTAAGGTCTGGTGAACATGCGACCCATGACCTTCAATTGTCTCCAGTGAGCGCTTACTCAAGCCGCATGTCCAACCTATTTCGATACGCATCCAGAACACCAGGCTTCGTCGGTTTGCTGGTGTCCATGCGCTCACGGGGTCGTCGAGGGCGACCGCCAAAACGTACTCGCAGATCAGAACATACAAGTATATGGTCAGTGTCCACACGTGTTCCAAATCGAGCGACAGTTTGGACGCAGCATCTCCAGCGATAATTGATCGCGATGTGATCGATTTGTGTGCATGGCGGGTTCGAGGCAGGTGTGCGCCATGTCACCTTCCGACGGGTACTGTATCGGAAGTTAATGCTCGCAAGAAATAAGCAAGTGTCTTCACACAAATGAAGTAACCGCTCACCGTTATCATTACGGGAGCCTACATCATGTTGGCCGCCAAGATGAAGCTGATCAGTGGACAGGTTTCAAACTTGAGCGTGCAGATCCCCAGCCAGCAGTACGGTGTCCGTGCTTCTTCTGTGGCGGAGCTCGTTCAGTTGGCACTGGAATTCGTTTTTTACCGAGTCATCGTTACAATTTGTGGGGGCGCAGGCAGCGAAGACAAACAGACACCTATTAGCCCCGTGCGACTTCGAAGCTTGGAACGAGCCAGGCAGTGGTACCGTACACATCCAGCTACTGATTGGGATCTAATCAACGAGAGCAGCTTTAGCCCGAGGACTCCGGGTAATACCAACACCAGCTTGACCGATACTCGAAGCTGCATCGTCTTTGGATAGGCGTAATGAAAAAGCACTGTTAGGGTCACCTGAAGAGAGTCGCAGAGTGAGCACATAACTCGTTTTTTTAAGCGGGTTGCCGATAGGAAGCAGATATCGAACGAGATATAAATAAATAATGAAATAACGAGGGTCCCTAATGTTCGATCAAGTGCTGCCTGTTGACTGATCTGTAAAAATGGGTATACGTTGAGGTATGCCAATCTGAGAAAAGATTGGAGGCTCCAAATAGAAGCGAATGAACTTGGCTTGGCCGCTTGGTCAATCATGGGCTTAACATCATCATCATTATACAGGTTAGCAAAAGTTGGAAAACATCTCAACTACTGTGCCGCAGATGAGTTTGTCGATAGGACAAGTGACGCTCCGCGATTGCATGTGAGCTGAAACCAGAAAAGAAACGCCCATGAATGGATCGTGGAGAAGGACCAAGAATTAGGGGGTTGAAAACGTGGGGAATAAAAGTGAAGTTGGAACGGGACAATAGAGGTGAAAAAGCGTAAGACGGGAAGACTTGAGCAGTAGCATCCAAACCCCTATCCACCCTGCTCGATGCAGCAGCATCATCATCATCATACACATTAGCTAGAGGTGGGGAACACCTCAGCTACTGTGCCGCAATACATAGAAAAAGGAGAAAAAAAGCAACTGGTGCAAGCTGGCTGAGCTACCGGTAACGAATGGGCATCGTTCCGGTAAGCTGCCAGCCGGCTGCTGTGCACCAAAAAAATTACTATGCAAATTTATATAAGGCTAAGTAATGAGATCGTGGTTGGAGGGGGAGACTAAGAGGGATGGGGTGGGACAAAGAAACTCACAGCACGAACGCCACTGGGGTCGGCTCCTAGCCATATCAGCAAGTGTGTCCAACCAAACGTGTTCATCGTCTTTCGGACCCCAACCAGGGAGCCGAGACGCTCCAACCGAGGCCAGCTCCGAAGTGAGGGCCTTCATTCCTCTATACCAAGTCATCGCTTGGCCACCCCTCTTCTTCCATCCACACCCCCGGCGCGCAAACAACACACGTCGTGGGAGTCGGTGGGCTGGCATGCGCAACACGTGGCCGAGCCATCGGAACCAGATGTGTGAAATAACGGTGCTGAGTGGTTCAGTTCCATTTCCTGTGCCATAAACTAGGCGTCGAACACGATCGTTACCCACGCGGTGTTCCCACCAGATGTGAGCTAAAGTACGAAGGCACCGGTGGTCGAACGTAACTAGCCTCTTGAAGTCCGCTGCTTTAAGTGGCCAGATTTCACAACCGTACAGTAGGGTCGAACGTACCGCTGCATTGTACACTCTACCCTTCAGTGCAAGAGTGATGTCGCACCGGCGCCATAAGTGGCGAAGGTTAGCAAAAGCGCCTCGAGCTTTTGCTATACGATTCGTGATCTCATCTTCAATCCCACGGGCGCTGATACAACTTCCCAGGTAGTTGAATTTTTGAACGACTTCTAGCTGATCCCCACCAAGGGTCAGCGTAGGAGGCGGTCCAGACCAATCTTGGAGGAACGCTTTGCACTTCCAGGGTGCGAAGCAAAGCCCGAAGTGACGGACAGCTATTGCTAATCTGTCCAGTGCCACCTGGCACGTTTGTGAGCTGTCACAGATGAGGGCAATATCATCAGCATACTCTAAGTCAAGAAGTCGTTCTCCTGGGAGCAGATTCACACCTTTAAAAGGTGTCCTGTAAACACGATTTCCATGACTTCGTCAACATCGAACTTGAAGAGGAAAGGTGACAGCGGGTATCCTTGTCTCACACCGCTGGAGATATAAAAGGGCGACGACAACTTGCCGTAAACCCTCACTCTGCCCGAGCTACGCGCATATAATGCTCGGATAATATTCACACGTTTCTCAGGGAAACCTTTCCTGAGCAGACAGTCCCAAAGTGCATGTCTATCCACCGAGTCGAATGCACCTTTGATATCGAGGAACACGACAAGGGTGGGCCGCCAATATATGTGACGGTGTTCCAACAACTGACGCAAGGTGAAGATGTGGTCAAAGCAGCCACGATCTCGACGAAATCCAGCTTGCTCTTCACGAATCTGGCTTTCACGAGTGCCAGTCAGTCGGTGAAGGATGACAGAGGCAAGCAATTTGGAGGCAATGGAGATCAGACTGATTCCTCTATGGTTGCCGCATTCCGATCGTGAGCCTCCTTTGAAAATTGGGACTATGACGGAGAGGCTCCAATGGGTTGGGACAGTTTCCTGCTCCCACAGGTCCCCCGAATTTAGAGCAGGTCCCCCGACGTGAAGTAAGCAAAGGGTAGGAAGAGAAATCGAAGGTACGGAAGAAGGAAGTGCAGTTGAAATAGGAAAATAACACTAATGTGTAAAGAAAAGTAGAGAAAAGAAAATCGAAGTACGTAGATGCGAGTTACTCAAAAAAATGGAAAGGTTTCGTGTTGCCACCCAAGAGTGTCAAGTTGCCGCTCAAACCTCTTAACCGTAGATTCCCTGATAACACATTCCGGAAGCAGGTTTCCTCGCTCAATGACTGCGTGAGAGCCGGATTTCCGCTCTAATCCGACCGGACCGCGGCTTGTCCAGCTTCAAGGAATGACCGCGTAGAACAGACAATCAAGCGAGACTGAATAGCCAAGATATATCTGGACCAACCTTCCCAGTTAAGATATGGTAGGTTAGGATTAGATCTCCTCTAGGCCTTCGATAGTGTATGGAACGCATTCCCAATCTAAGCAGACGCTCGGGGTAAGTCCGTCCCCGTAATCCCTCGACTAACCTAGTACTCCCTCGTAAAACCCTCTCTAGCTCCATTTTGTCCCGGACGAGGCAGGGCTGACAAGCATGGACGCAGTATTTCATATGAGGCCGAATGAAAGCCCGTCAAGACTCCGAAAGGACGTCGTATTAACCACAACATGCGGAAATCTCTGCATGTGGCCTTTTTTCAATTGTCACCGGAGTGTAAAGCCGAAGAGTGTACGACACCTAGGTCAACCTGGCTAGATAGATGGAGGAGTTCGACCCCACCGATCACGTACTTCGTGATAGGACAACCTCCTCCAAACCGAACAATGGAGCACTTTGCCTGATTCATGGGCAGTAACCATAAAGTAGACCAGCCCCAAAGGTTATTCAATGCTCGCTGAATAGCTTCGGAACCCCCAAAAACATCGACAATGTTCCGCAGCTTCAGATCATTGGCAAATAGCGGCGAGGGTACCTCAAGCTCCATGGGTAGGTCATTCACATAGATAGAGAACAGCAGTGGTCAAAGGACCAAGCCTTGCGGCACGTCACTGAGGACAGACTGCGTAAACGATGGGCCCCGGCCTATCCGTACACACTGTTCTCTACCCTCCAAGAAGGCAGTCATCCAATGAAGGGCGAAACCAGATACACCATAGGAGGACAGCTTTTGCGCGAGCCTCAAATGTGGTACCTTGTCAAATGCCTTCTAAGTCGACGAAAAGCACGTCCAGTGCGTAGCGGTTATCCATTGTATCCGCCCAACTTGCGTAAGCTACCATTAGATTCGTTAGACACGAGAATCCCTTCCGGAATCCGTGTTGTACATTACTAAGTAGATTAAATACTCAGATGACTCTCCAATAAACCTCCCACCAGTTTCTCGAGAAGTTTGATTACTACACTTGTCAGACTAACTGGCCTGTAATTTGCAGGAAGATTCCTGTCCCCATTTTTGAAGAGGGGACAGATGACAGGTTCCTTCCATTCGGAAGGTAATGCACAGCAGTCAAGCGATTTCTGTAACACCATAGCGAGCGGTCCACTTAGTTCCACAGCCAACTAATGCAACAGTTTCGGGTGAATTAAATCAGGCCGAGGCCTTAGAAGGGTTCAGCCCTTGTAACAGCCTACGAACTTCCCTCTCCGCTAAAATAAATTCAGATAGTCTGAACCCTCTGGGAGGAGTCGCTTATCAAACGCTTCACTGAAGTAGAGGAAGAAAACGTCCAAAGGTTTCGTAACATTTTAAGCTCTTGCCTAAGATTCTCTGGTGATAAGCAGGTTGGAAATGCAAGAATGAGCTCTCTGGAACCCATGCTGACGAGGCGAAATTAGATTCAGGGGAACAAAGTGGCGTTGCAGAAATCCCTCCATGGCTTTACAAATAAACGATATCAATTAAATCGGACGGTGGTTAGAAGTGACAGAAGGTAACGACAATCGGAATAACATGTGAATCTCACTTTTGTATCACCAAAGCGCTAAGGTGAACGTAAAGGAGACTGACCGTCCCACAATGAAAGGAAAGTAGCGTGGACTGTTTGCTACAGTGGATTACTGGTATACCAGCACCTTAGTATCCGTAAGCACAAGCAGAGTGCGTGCACATTTGTGTGCCGATTATAATTTTTAAACATGCATATAATGTAAGATTTATGAAGCTTAGATGCTGAATTAGCCTGTTCCACTTGTTGGTTTACGTCTATAACTTCATCAATTGTTTATTTCTTATTTCGTACATTTTTTATTTTTGCATGTATTTTGTCATGTACGTTTGTTCTGGTAACAAATGTAACATTCTACTTATAGCCCGCATGTTGTGGCATTATATATTTGGCTGTAATGCAGAGCACTTCAAATATGTGCCTATCGTGAGACGGTCGGACTGCAAACAATGGCATCTCAAAATAAAGGCTGTGTTTACGACGCAAACTAAAACAAGTTTACAGGTATAAAAGTAGCCCGGGACTAACTGTGCTCTTTGGCACAAATTAGAAATGAAACTGATTTAATATTTTTAGGTACCATGTTAGCTGAATTCCAAAAGCGGAACAGGAATTTATTACGCAAAACATAGTTAGGTTAACAGTTATCCCTGTCTTATCGAACTTTTACAACCACAGCACAGGTGCACGATTATGAAGACAGACTCAGAACGCTGTAATGGTAACGGTTCATTTTAGTTCACGTGGCAATATTTTGCTCGTGAGCTACATTTCAACTGTACTAATTTTGAAATGTCTCCTTCGGCAGGCACTACAAGTTCAGTGGCTGTTTCTAATGGTGGTTCCGCCGGTTCTCTCTAGACTTGGTCGGCCTGCTGTCGGAACGGCTAGAGACGTCTAAAGTGCACTGGCATAGGCAAGTGGTTGGGTCAATCGCAACGCTTTACTACAAACGCGGTATAAGACACCACTTGCTCCAATACATTGGGGGCAAACCACGCAGGGTGGAACTTAGGAGGCATTCCTTAGGCTTGAGTCTGATGTAGCAAAACAAGTTCACTAACTCCTTGGTTGAAGACGAAGGGCTTCCCATAATACGCCTTCTGATGCTGTTGGGCCGTTTCCAGTCGCACCCGCCAAGTATGATTAGCTTATGGTAGGGAGTCCAGTAGCTTTCGGACGCACTCCATTACAGATGGCTGTACTTGCCAAGTCACAGAAGGCGTAACTTCGCGACGCGCGTCCGGTCCACGCAAGGTAGGGTCTTTGCCCAGTCAAGAACTTAACCGTACTTTGGTCAGTCTGCAAGAATTTCGGCAACAAAGCTTCCCACTTATTTATACTCTGGTCTCTAAAGCTTTTTGTAGTGCTTTGTGGGAAAGATTAGTTCGTTCAACCTGATCGTTCCCTTGGGGGGATACGCAGTCTTACTTGGCTTGTCTATCACAACAAGCCAGCGCAGTTCTTGTACCAGTGTGCTCTCAAAACAGGAGTCTTTGTCGGAGTGTACTTGTCCTGAGGCTTCCCAACTACAAACCGTGCTTCACAACTGCTTTCCCCACATTACCCGTAGCGGCCCGTGGGATCGTACAGCTTCGCCCCACGCAGTAACGTAATCCAGCATGTCAAAAATACAGAGATTTCCTCGAGAGGTTTCGGGTAACTGCATTATAATTTTCACACCCACCATCCCGTTAGGCTATCCTGCCTCCACAAGTCGCAAATATGTGCGGCCGGGGAATCGAGAATGCTACAGGAGCCACCGTTCTCTCAAGAATGGCAAATTTTACTTACGTCTCTCCGTCTCTGTGGCCACGAGCAACGTCTGCATACAACTACAACCATTTTGCTCCTCCCAAACGGTCCCAACTCCTTGGCAGTGTCAAGTAGCAAAGCATTGACCGTGGGCTGACTAAGGATGATTCTCCTGGTATTGGTCGGACCAAAAGCGAACACTCACACACATTCCTCGGTAGCCGGTGTGTCCCACGTGGCGCACCGACACCACGCTCCATAACTTTTTCCATGCAACCCCTCACTCGTTATCCTGTTGCTGCCATAAAGGCACGGCTATTAAATTAACTCAAAATCTGGACACGTAGAGAAAAAATAATTTATTCTCGAAATTGCGAGACACGCCAGTAAGACACGAACAGGATAATATAAAGGCGCAGCATAAGTAAAGGTACAGCACTGCCACAAGTTAACTAGTACATACTGGATACAATTATGGGAGTATTAGGTATTTGCGTATAAAATGAAGACATCAAATTATGCGAATTTGCTAGTACCAGAAAGACGATCATATTCACTCATTGAAGTCTTTGAATTTAGCGAAATGGGTAAGCTCCTCCGGTAAGGCGATGAGTGTAGTTACTGGCTAGTCATATCCGGCAGGTCGATGTCTTTAAACAGCCATTACTGGCATTTATAGATAGATCGCTTGTCAGGCGGTAACTTACCATCTCCTGGAACACTGCCGCCGACCTATTGGCTAGAGCACGCTACCCCCTAGACATCCAATTGGCACTAGGTGGACATAGTTCTGACAGCCAGCCTCTGCCAGTTTCACGCTTCCATACACCGCCCTCTGGCGGTTAACCATTACAACTTTTGTGTGTTGCACTAAGGAGACTCCCCACGGTCCCGGAGCGGGATTCGAGACAATGCGTCTGCGTTAGCCTGCAGTTTGCCTGCCTGATATTTGGGTACGAAATCGTATTCTTGTAGCTTTTATTGTTAGCGCGGTTTGTCCTTCTGGTCCCCGGAAGTTTTGAAGCCATTGAATGCACTGCTGGTCAGTCGGTACAACAACTCACCTTCCTAGTAGCTTATATCGGTCCCGTTTCATGAAAACAGTAAAGCAAGCATTTCTTCTCTAGGACTGCAATAATTTCTCCCTCATTTGAGTTGTGGTTTCTATTACGTTAGAATACTAGTCATTCTATTCCCTCAGGGCCGTCCTGTGACAAGACAGCTCCAAGCACTTGGTCACTCGCACCGGTGCTCAAACTGGATTTTCCGGCCGATGTTGAACACTAGCACCGTGTTCATACAGACTTACGGAGCCGAGTAAAGGTGTTCTGGCGATCGGCTGACAACATAAACTTTTGAACTATTTGTAGTACTGCATTTAGAGTGTAACAACGTTGGAAAAGCTTTGGATGAGTCACCTGTACTACGAGGCCAACCCAAGGAAGCTGCGTAACTGCTCAGCGCCTGTAGTGGTTGGCCCCGACCTTATCTCTTCCGGCTTGTTGAATCCGGTTGTATGCCCCGGCAAGGAGATTATGTGTCCGAGATACACCACTTCTTCCCGTAGTAAGTGGTATTTCGATGGCTTGTGTTTGAAGCTTACCTCGAGTAGCCGTTTCAGTACTTCGGCCAGGTTGTTCAAGTGCCCTTTCTTCTTTTCTCCATTCGAAATAGCATCGTCCAAGTAAACAAGCTGCCTCCGAGTGATCAATCCACAAAATACAGCGTGCATCAGACGCTGGAAGGTTGCGGGGGCGTTTGTTAACTTAAACGGCCTAGTCTGAATTACGTACAAGCCAAGCGACATGAAGCATGTAGGTTGCGCTCACACGATCTCTCTCACTCCCACCTACAAGTAGCCAGAAACAAGCTATAGGGTGCAAAACCCGTTCAACCACCAAGTGCGTCAACCACTTCATGCATCCTAGTAAGCGCAACAACTTCCCGCCGGGTTAGCTGGTTAAAAGGCAGGAAACCGCCATCGTTTTCTTCACCAGAAATATCGGTGATGCCCATGGGTATGTGGAGTTTTGACAATATTTTCTTAAGCAGTTATATAAATAAATTTATACACACCTTATTCTGGTCGGTGCGAGACAGGTCTTTAAATGCAGGAGCATAAATACCTAACTACAGATTTCTTCTGGATTATGAGAAACCAGTCCATGAAAGCTTGATCAAGTAGGTGCAGCTGTATGGAGGTTTTGTAGCAATTGTTACCGCAACAGTAGAAAATTGTTCAGGAGATTACGATTAGGGTTTTAAAGGGCTGTGTTTTTAAAATGAAATATTGGATGATAGTGCATTCGGGACCCCTTTGCAAGGACATAAGCAGCCCTCCATATATTGCCATAATACATCAGCTAATAATTGATCAGCAAACCCGGATGATCGCTTAGAAGATAACTGAAGGGCATGCTCGGCAGCTATGTGACGATATACAGGGTTCTTGTGTACGTAACGCAATGGTCAAGGGTGAGATCATAGAAGGAATAGATGACAGTATATGCAGCTTTGAAAGTGTCAGTGTAACGAGCCTTCCTTTTCTTTTCCCAAGCCTCTACAGGCATGAGTAACTAACAGCAAAGTTTCTTTACGGAGGAACGGCCTGCAACCTACCTGGCCCGTGGGTCAACCGCCTGGAAATGGACATACAATACACACCAACACCTCCAGATCCTTCCCAAATTGCACAGTGCTCCTGCTACGTACCCGTGAATGTACAACAATTTCGGCAGTAACGCTGGGCACAACAATCTGTGGAGGCCCCTGACTAAGACACTTTGCCAGCCAACGAAGAATAATGGAAGCAGCGTAACTGCTACTAGATGCGAAATAATTTGGTCCGAATGCGGCCCTGCCATTGACATTTGGCTCAAATCACGATAAATGGCAGGGTTCCGGGACGTGGTGGGTTTTCGCCCGGTAAGCGTTCTCCCCATAATATGCCACAAATGTCTGCTTAACAGCTCTGCGACGTGGGGATGTGAGAAGCTAGCGAATAAAGTCCCTGCACTTAGCATCACACCGGCAAGTCCCCCTACTACAGACACCACTATTTCACGTACCTCGTCAGTCTTCGTCGATCCTTCATTAGTAATGCATCGCTAACTACGCTGCTTCGCACAGGATGACTACCTTTGCTTGTTCCTGTGTGTAACCTATGCTGAACTTGGGGAAATGCCGTTGCTTGTCCAACGTTGATTATCCTCGATTTGGCGTGCCTCGAAACGTTCGACAATAAGTTTTTGTTTATTTATTTATTTACCTCAAGAATGATGAAATGTGACGTTTGCTGACTTGCCTGCGTGGAGTCATGGGTTATGATTTCAATCGTTGGCGAAGCCCTTACGCCACGTCGCAGTGTTTTTAAATGTA